CAACACTCAGCCCTTGCCCCAAGACGGCCTGGGGCCTAATTGCAGGGCCCTGAGGGGCTCCCCGTAGATTAACTCAGCCCCATCTGAGCTCGTGGGGACAGGCACTTTGCAGTACAGCCAAGGCCACCACGGGGTGTTTAGGAGACACTGATTCCCTCCAGTCATCACTCTGGTGGTTTTCTTCTTCCCTGCGCAGCATCAGCACTGCCAGTGGCAGTCCTGGGGCCAGGCAGTGGAAAATGAGGAGGGGACCCACATCAGCCAGGGGAGCCCTCCTGTCACCGAGTCAAGGATCCCCAAAGGACAGGCCTCCCTGAGACAACAACAGTCAAATGGTTAAAAAAAAAAAAAAAAAAAAAAAAAAAGGCACACAAACCAAAGATCTGAGTTGGGCCAGCTGTGTCATTTCAAGCAAATATACCGGGTTGAGTTGTGTCCTTCGAAAAGATATATCCAAGTCCAGCCCCTACCACCTGTGAATGTGACCTAATCAGGAAACAGAGTCTTGGCAGATGTAATCAAGTTAAGGATCACTCTCGATTTCAGGTGGGCCTTAAATCCAAAGACCGGTATCCTTAAAAAAGAAAGAAATGCTGGATGCACTTAAAAAGGAAAGGAATGATGGGTGCGGTGACCCACGTCTGTAATCCCAGCATTTTGGGGGGCCAAGGCAGGGGATCACTTGAGGCCAGGTGTTCGAGATCAGCCTAGCTAGCATGGTGAAACACCATATCTACTAAAAATACAAAAAAAAAAAAAAAATTAGCCAGACCTGATGGTGCACGCCTGTAATCCCAGCTAGTTGGGAGTCTGAGGCAGGAGAATCACTTGGACCTAGGAGGCAGAGGTTGCAGTGAGCCGAGATCACGCCACTGCACTCCAGCCTGGGCTACAGAGCAAGACTCTGTCTCAAAAATACAAAATGAAATAGAAAAAGGAAGAAGCAGGAGATTAAAAACAAAGAGACAGGAGGATGGCAGGCATGTGAGATGGAGGCATAGGCTGAAGTGATGGTGCCACAAGCCAAGGAACGCCAGGAGCCACCAGAAGCTGGAAGAGGCAAGGACCGGTTCTCCTGCAGCGCCTTCGAAGGGAGCATGGCCCTGCCAACTCCCTGATTTTAAACGTCTGGCCTCCAGAACAGCCAAACAATAATGTTCTGTTGTTTTAAGCCAGCAAGTGTGTGGTAATTTGCTAAGGTAACCTAGTAAACTAATACAGCAAATACCTTAACTCTCTAAGGTTCTCTTTTAACACCAGTAAAATGAGGATCATCATGCTCAACCTTCCTTCTTCACTGTCATGAGGAGGATTCATGATAATATATGTTTGCATAATTTGGGAACAAAAAAAGCTATTAAGAGGCCAGAAATGATCACTACAGTAATACTGTAAGATTATTGTTTAGTGGCGTCTCCAACAGCTGTGGAAAGTCGTCGCACCCAAGACTGGGAAGACAAATGCATCAGGACCAGCCCAAGCCCATCCTCGCTACTGAGTTAATATTTTACCAAGTCGATTAAATCTGCAAATGATAGCAGAGGTAATTATCACTTTCTTTGAAAAGAAAATGAAATACTCCAATCTATTTTAATCATGTCTGCTCCATGCATGCAGGGAATTAAGAGAAGGCTGTTCAAGATACATGAAGGGTCCTCAGAGCACTGCTGGAGCGTTTCTGTGCCGTGGGTCTACTCTGGGACCTCTTGCCATTGCCTAAATTGTATCTTGAGATTCAGAATCTAAGCTTCTTTTCTTCCTAATTCATTCTTTATCTCTAAGACAATCTCTCTGATTCTTGCGCGGATTTTTGGACAGACAGCTCTAATTTTCTCTGTAAGGAGAAAAAGAATCATCTTGCCATAACCAGAAACTTCTGAGAGCACTGCACAATGCCACGTCAAATTTTTCCAACCTGTGCCACTGAAACTGTGCTGGCCACTCCAAGGCAAATCGTGGAAGATGCTTCTAACTCGCTCCATAAGAGGCGCATCCCCTAGACACAGGAACAGCAATGATCCAGGGGCTTGGCCAAGACCATCTCCCTCATCCCACAAAAACAAATGAGAGGAGATAGAGGAAGGATCTTGGTGCATTTTAAGAACTCTGAGACAGTAACATGTTTGTTTTTTTTTCCTTTGATTCCATGCAAGGAACCCGGCGTCTTGAGAGAGGCTTCTGGAAGCTGAGCATGTCGCCTGTGCATGTAGGGTGTGTGCTTGGGTCAGGGAAGAGAAAGAGCACAGTCTTTGGAAACAGCAGATCGGGTAGTGATAATACTAAAAATCCTAACACTCATTCCCAGACGTACCACTTACTGGCCATGTGATCTTGAACTAGCGGTTGAACTTGGCCAAGCCTCAAATCCCTCATTTGTAAGACTGGTTATACTGATAACTCCCTGTGAAGTTGTTCCAAGGATTAGACAGAACCTCACACATGTTAGGTGCTCAAGATGTGCCTCTTCCTTCTCCTTCTGTCCTACTGGAAAGGTCATGGACACTTAGCCCTTCCATTCTTACAGCAAAGGTCCTCTACTTGGGGAGGGGCTGGTTTGGGTACAGCAGAGGTCCTTAGTGACAGAAAGAAACATGCTAAGGAATTGCTACACACCCTCTTCCCCTTCTGTCCCTGCAGAGGGTCACTCAAAGCCTCACACTTCTGGCCTGTGGTTTTCCTGGCTCCACAACACACTGAGCCCTTTCTCCTCGAGGACCAAAATTCTTTCTTCCTGGAAATACCCAACCCATCCCCACGCCCCAGCCCACAGGCTCCATTGAGCAGACCCTGGCAGTCTAGATGGCTCATGGCAGATGGCGCCATGTGGACTAATCAGGAAGTCAGACAAGAAAATACTACCCTTTCTTGCATTTGCCAGGAACTGGGATTGTTTGGATTTTAATCATAGCCTCAGCTAAGAGCCAACACAGGGCCCCTCCAGCCAAAAGATAAATTTTCCTCTCTCAAGATTCAATTCTTCCTCAAAAAATAGACCCCTACCAGGGTAATTGCTCCTTAGAGAGGGGGCTTCTTTATTCTCCAATATAATCTTTACTTAGTTAACAATATGACAGAAATAAAATACTCTGTGGACACCGCGGCACGCACACACTAACTCACACTGGAGGGAACGTCTTCATTTCCCCATAAGTCACATCTAGCTCACTGGTACATTGATCCCAAGCAAAGATGAATGCAGAATCCCATGATCCTCTAAGAGAGATCTGATATTTTCTTTAAACATATATCCACAGAACAACTGTTTCTAAAACTCCACGAAACAGGTCACCAGGGCAGCAGCACACCATGATTTCACATCCAATAATTTTTTAGAAAGAGCACTGAACATTTTCTCAATAATTCAGCCAACAGCTGACCCTTGATGTCCCCTGGAGAGACGCCATCCCTGGCCTCCTGAAGATGGAAGGGCTAGGGGTTCCAGAATAATTAAATGCAAGACACCCAAGAAAGAGATCCCTCAAGAACCTCAGTCAGTTCTAGGGTAACTTAAGAAAAACCGCCATCATGTGCTTTTTGAAAATTATCATAGAATAGATCCTAGTGTTGGAAACAGACTGAAAACACTGGGCGATGGTTGAGCACAGTGGTCAAGGCTTTGGCTCCACACACTGCCACTATTCAGTGAGTGACTTTAAACAGGATACTTAACCTTGCTAAGTATCTCAGTGTCCTCCAAAGTGAAGTGAGAGTAATAATTCCTACCTTAAGGAATTGCCATCAGGATTAAGGGAAATAAAGGATACAACTTAATAGATTGCTTGGCACCATGCCTGGCGCAGAGGAAGAACTCGGAAATCAGTGCTCATAGTAAATCGTAGCCATGTTAATTTATCTTTTCCACCTACAGTACACAAGGTCATCACGGGGTGATAGGCTACTAAGATGCTTGATGAAGGCATCAAGAGTTGGGTCAGTGAAGGTAAGGTTTTGACTCTGACGAACTCAGGTCTTGCTAGGTGAAGGGAGAACAAGCTGAAAGGCCAGCAGCACAGGCAGAGGTCCAAGGTCATTGCCTCTTGCTAAAGAGAGTAAAGCAATCCGCATTCAGTGAATTTGGATCTGCGTCACCAATAAGAACACATGAGTGGTGCCTCTGGAACCCTGACCCCCTAACTTGATCCATGCCTCAATTCCTTTCAATTTATTCCTTGATTTATACCCGCAACATAATATGATGTCCTTCGTGCACAGAGATGACCCCGATGACTCACTCATCAACATGAGTTATTTTTTTCCAGCAGTGGTCACAGACGTTCACTCATCCATCCTACATTTGTTTGTGCAGAATGGCTGGCTGGAATAGGAGTGCCCTGATCAGCCTTGGACCACAGCAAGACTAAGCAGTCCACAAGCAGATTGAAAAAAACATATAACGCCTCCCCCTACCCCTTGGCATGCCTATACTCAAGCCAAATAAGCTGAAGAAGATTATGAGCAGTGAAAACGCATGTAATTTGAAGTCAGAAGGTATGGGTTCAAGTCCCAGCTTGGCCAGTCCCTAGAAATGCAGCCTTAGCTGAGTCTCACATGTCTTTCTAGGGCTCAGAATCCTCACCCATAAAATGCAGAGAATAATAATATCTACCTCTTATGACTCTTATGATGATAAATCTAAGGTTATATAAATGAAAACATGCCTAATAGTCATATGAATGTTACCATAAATTGATATTCTACATTATGAATATTAATACGATTATAACTAATTACCTACCAATCACAAAACTAAGTCCAAATAAAAGAAGAGGCTCTTGTCTTCTGAAATAGGTTGTGCCCAGAAAGAGCATCAGAAGTCAAGAAATGGGGTTAATTGCTCTCACTGAACATGGTACACTGCATGTCATGCAACCCAAGTAGGCTCTTCAGGTATATGTGGGCTCAGCCTTCAGGTAGTTCCATTGCTTGCCACTTGTCCCCATCCACCCATTACCAGCGTTTCAGTACCTGGACAGTTTTCAAAAGTTCAAAACCAAACTTACAATTCCCGAAGACTCAGCGTCTGGAAGAGCTGCCACGAGAGTGTGGTGAGCCGGTTACTTGACAGGTTTCTGCAAGATCGACAAATAAAGGGAAACCTTTAAAACAAATCTGGCACAAAGCATGCTGTAGGTAGCAAGCTTAGTTCATTTCACTGGAGCCTGGCTTTGTTTTCCTCCTCCTTCTTCTTGTTCATTCTGCTAGGCTCATCCTACATCTGCTAATAGTTGAGGCCATAGATCAGGTTTGGAAAGGCTTTTGAGGGCTTTTAAAGGGCACAATTTTACAAATAAAGGAAACCATTAAATTCTCATGGTCATTCTCCCATATCCCCTCCCCACAATAAAAATTGACAGAGCCTTTATGTGGCAATCCTTCTGTAGCAGGACAGGGAGTTCTCAGGGTAGATAAGCCCACTAGCATTCTTAACATGACATGCGTGGAAAAACTCTGCAGGTCAGCTACAATTCCTTTTAGCCAGTGTCTCTCCCAGCGAACATGCCCACCAATGATCAAGACATCAGCCTTTTGTTCACACGTCTGTTCTCCTCCTAATGGCTATTTAATTGTTCTCATTAGGATGTACAGGGGAAAGGAGCAGCCATTAGTCTTCTGGATAAAAGGAGAAACACGCCCACGGTTATTACTTTGCCGGGCTTAACAAACAACTTTTGATGTGATAACAGCTCTTAAAGGTAGCAGTTAGACACAGCTAGAATTGAAGTGGCAACCCAGGAACAACGTTCTTATCTACTGACGGGAACAAACGGCAGTGCTGATTCCATTTTGGTAAATATCTATCCACACAAACACGACGTGTGTATACTTGTGTCTATTAAACATGTAGGTACTAAATGCAAACACAGACTCTTGTTTATACACACACATAGGCTTACCCATACACCTATATTTAGATGACTTCTACGACAAATATTTATAGAGACTACACTGAGGAATGAGGGAGTTGACCATTGAGGGGGAAGGCAAGTTCCCTCTGGAATCTTATATTCAAGTTACAAATGAATAAGCAGAAGGAAGACTATCAGCACTGTGATTATGTAAGTCACTGATGTAGAAGCGGGGATACATGTATTACTGTGATTATGTAAATAACCGATACAGAGAGAGGTGCCTTCTGCGAAGGTCGCATCGGGCCTCAGACAAGAAGAAGAAAGAGCTGAGTACCAAAACAGGAGTGTCTGAGGGAGTGGAAGTACCAAGTGTCAAGGCCTGGGAAAACCAGGGGACCAGGAAGGAAGCCAGTCAGAAAGGAAGGAGTGAGCGGTGCTTTGGGGTAAGTGGGAGGAGGATTCACGCCACACTTGCTGGCCACGGGGAGGAGTTTGGATTTGATTTTAAAGAGTGGTGGGAAGGCATTGGATGGTTTTCAGCAGGGAAGTGACATAATCTAATTAACATTTTTAAAAATAGAAGGCCAAGACTGGAAGTTGGCAGGCCAGTTAAAAGGCTGCTTCAGTCTTCCAACCAAGAGAAGGGAGTGGAAATAATTGAGTGGATGGATTCAAGATAGATGCTACAGGTAGAGCTGCCGACTTCCTACTTGACTGGATTTTGTAGAAGAGAGAACAAGAACTGAATGGCCATGTGAATGGTGACGTCATTGAGGGCCATGTGAATGGTGACGTCATTGAGTAGAACCAGGAAGCCGGCCAAAGGATCACCGGAGGCGATGGGATAGAGACCCTCCCCTTTGCAGACATTCAGTTTGAGACTGCTAGCTATCCAAAAAGAGATGTCAAATAGCCTGCTGTGTTCGTGGGTCTAGAGCTCAAGGGAGAGGTTAAGGCTGGGTGAGATTACATAGGGAGAGAATCTACCCAGTTCATAACAGGACCAGACATTCAAATACAAGATCAAACAAAGGGACATGGCTTCCCCTTCTCATTGGATGCAGCCCTCACTGGTGAAGTGGTTTTGTTCTACTCTGGCCTGAACTGGCTGGTCCCTGTGACGGCCCGTTACTGTGCAGGGGAAGCAGCCTCCTGCTGAGGGTGCAGAGGACTGGTGGAGAAGGGAAAGAAACATAGGTAGTTTCCCAGGTTTACTGTTCTGTTATCTTCCCTATACCCAGGACTCTCCCCGTTCAGAGTTTTCAAGCCTCTGGATAGTCCCCACAGCCCTACACTGTCACCAAACCTCCTCTCTGCAAGGCTGAGACCTCTGGTGTAACAGCACACGCTCACTAAAAGCCTTATACCTAAGCCATTCATCATGCTCAGCTTCACAAAACCCCTAATGACTATACATCTTATTCCTACAGAATTGTTCCCCCCACGGATCAGAAAGAAAGGGCCAATAAAAGAACCGCAGTGAGGACCACCTGAGGACACGAGGTGGGGCAAAGCCTTATGCACAGCCCATCTCCTGCTCAGAAGGGTGGAGCCAGAGACCAGACACACACTCCCACCAAGTCAATGACCCTACTCTAGCTATTAGACCAGGAGCTCGAACTTGGGGTTCAGGACAACAGGCATTGGTACCGCTCTGAGTCTTCACTGCCATTTGCCTTTATGATGTTTCCTTAAATCTAAGTGTTTGATTCATCTAGGTAGAAATCTTCTGTCTTGCTATTTTGCCTGGCTTACTCTATGCACCATGCATTACATGCAGCAGCAAAAGCTGGACAAGCCCCCAACTTTCAAATCCACGAGGTAACCCCTGCAGCAGTTTGGGAAGATATCGGTCCCCAGCCTTTAGCTCCCTACTCCTCTCCAGTGCTTCCCTGAACAAAACCCATGGTTCTGAAGCTGAGCAGCTGCATCCAATGGGCAGTCAGCAGCCAGAAACCCCACTCTCTTTGAGCCCTGAAGAGCATGCCCCTGGTAAGGGCAAAAGCAACTGGTGGGAACTGGCAGGCCGGGAGACTGAAGCAGTTCAGGTGAAATGGGCAGCCCTGCCCATCTCCAGTGGAGGAGCAGGCAGGGAGCCTGCCAGGTGTTCGGAGGAACCCGAGGCAGAGAGCAGGTTGCCAGCAATGTCCTCTCACAAAGGTCATGCTTTGCTACATTAGGCAGAAATGTCAAAAGAAAATTGGATTCTGAAAGAAAGAAAATAACAGACACTCTGGGCAAATAAGGAATAAGAAATAGCATTATTGCCTTATTACAAGTTGGAGGAGGGAGGGGTCCTGGGACACCTGTGAAGGGGGATGTGGGCTTTGGCTCTCCCAGGGCTGTCTTGGCTTCATCTCCCCCTTGCCCCTCCCCTACCCATCAAGCCCCCACCTGGATTCCTCCCCATCTTTGGATGGAGTGGGCTGAAGCACGCATGTGCTCTGCCCGTAGGCACATACAACCCAGTGCCCGTTTGCAGAGCCTGGAAACTGTATTGCACAAGTCCAGGGAGGAGTGCAGGGTGCACAGCCTTTGCAACTGTACCCGATGCCCTGCCAGACACACAGCAGAAGCACCAAGCCCCAGAAACAAACTTATACAAAAAAGACAAGAAGGCAAACATATACAGAAGGCAAATCACACACATCACGAAACAAGCAGAGCATGCCTCTGGCCAGCCTGCCCTCACCGGCATTGATGAATTCTCGTGTAAATAAAGAAGCTTTCACACGAATTGCCACCCACTTGGAACTCACTGCCCCTGATTTTTTCTTCTAACTGGGGCCTCACCTGTATGCACCTGTCATCAGTTATTGATGAGCTGGTTACCCTGCTCATCAGACAAGAATTTAATTAAGAACCATCCTGCCTCTGAGCCCCACAGCAGCATTTTCCCTGGGCATCCTCCCTAACAGATCCATTATCATCTGTCTCCGACTTTTGCTTGGGTCAATGGCCAGTTTCCAAGCCACCTGACCATTGAATTAATTTGGTGAGCAAGATTTTATGAGATGATGCATCAAATCCGTTCCCAAAATCAAGTTCCGTGACACTGCCCCTTCTATCTCTCGCCTGGGACTTCCAAACAAAGCCATTAATTTTGTGCTGCACAACTGGCCCTCTCACAGACCAGACTCTGGGGTCCAGAGGTAATAAACGATGATGATGTGGCTACTGGGTGCTCCAGGAACAAGGAGCCAGACACACAGATGGCTGGACCCTGGGCCCTGAGGAGCAACAGGGCTGAGATGTCACCTCTGGCATTAACCCCATAAAGAACAGGGGTCCTCCCAGGCAACCCCTCCTCTGACCAGTAGAAATGTCGGCACAGTAAGCAGTGCTAAGACCTTCCTAATGGTGGCACCCAACCACGGCAGGCATGGAGCCCATGAATGGGGAGGATTTCACCTTCCACCCCGGGAACACTACTGTTACAAAAGGGTCAACAAGATGGACCCTGTTGCCAAAAAAACCAACCAGATGAATCCCTCTGTTGTCCCTCTGGGGGCTGAGAGTTGAGAAGGAGACATTAAGCCCCATCCGAAAAGTGGTCCTGAAGTTGGAAGGATTTGTGGATCTGGATTAAGAGTGAGCTGACATTTGGAAGCACCTCCTCTTCTACTGATAGAGGCATGGAGGCAGACCAGTGGGCAGGTGTGTCTTAGGATTTGCATGTGTAAGGGATTAGCGGTGGCAGGTCTTCTGTATCCCGGAGCTATTAAACCAGGCTGTCTCACCTGTGCACTCCCAGGCCAGCTCCCCGATGCTCACTCCACCCTCCATACCTCCTTGGTCCCTCTCACTCGAGTGTTTTCTGTTGTCATGGACTAGATTTCATTCCCTCAAAATTCATTTTTAAAATCCTAACCCAGCTGGGCGAGGTGGCTCACTTATAATACCAGCACGGTGGGAGGCTGAGATGGGTGGATTACCTGAAGTCAGGAGTTTGAGACCAGCCTGGCTAATGTGGTGAAACCACGTCTCTACTAAAAATACAAAAATTATCTGGGCGTGGTGGTGGGTGCCTGTAATCCCAGCTACTTGGGAGGCTGTGACAGTAGAATCGCTTGAAGCCGGGAGGCAGAGGTTGCAGTGAGCTGAGATCGTGCTACTGCACTCTAGCCTGAGCAACAAGACTGAAACTCCATCTCAAAAAAAAAAAAAAAAGTCCTAACCCCCTCCCTTGTGTCTATATTTGGAAATGGGATCGTTAAAGA